CGCTAATAATTCAAAGGAAACAGAATGTAATGCACTGCAGCATCATATTATCCTATGTGTGTGTTTGTGTGGGTGGTTTTTTGAACAGGGAGGAAATGGTTCATCTAGTTTGTGTAATGTAAACTGGGTGAACTGGGGCTGGGTGTGACAGCCGGTTTAAAATAAATCAGGGCTCAACCACCTGTCAGTGTGGTGCTGAGTCCCAGCCAGAGAGCTTCTCATTGTACCTGAACTGCTGTGGAAAGTCTAGAAAGATGACATCGGAGACCAAACAGTCAAGTAAGTACATTAACTTTTAGACATATATTAACTGAAGTTTATCATCATATCTTTAAGGGCTTAATGTATTCTGATTTAAATTAAATTGTTTAATTTAAATAATAACAGTTAAATAGTCTTGTCAAAAGCAGGATTGCATTTGACAAGAGTTTTAGAAAAGTTTGCACCTATTTCAAAGTTTTTATAGAGTTAAAATAAAATCGTGTTATTCACTTAGCTTGCATGACCTCGGTTCTCCCAGTTTCTAGAAATCTTACTTGCAGGTGCTGGCAAATAGAAATGAATGCCTTACAACAACAGTCTTCAGAAAGTACATGCCAGAGAATGTTGTGTGAAAAGCTCACATTGACACATTAAACAGGATTTTTGCAGTTTATTCTCTTTACATACACGACAACATGTCTGTGGTCATCATGGGTCAACCTGGAAATTCAAATATATGTTTTGCAAGTTGAAGTTAATCCAAAGTTTCAGATTCAGGCCAGTTTGGCAGAAAATTTAGTTCAGGAAATCTGGAACACCTTCTAAATTTGATCGATGCCCCCATAATCAGTTCGAGTTTCGTACTCAAGTGCCCATTACATCGACGTAAGAGCAGTTGTTTTTGAATCATATAGTAGATTGTTGTGGTTATGTTTGTTTTTTTTATTCGGAAGGCATCTATAAATAATCATAAATATCAAAATATTAATGCGCGTGATGTTTTGCCTCCCATCCAGGACCACCTCCAATATGTGACACCCTCCATCAGATTGTTTTAGAACTATAGAAACATCTTCAAACCTAAAAAAGTTTAGTTGCCATATTTTCCGGCACTCGAGTGACATTATCTGCACAAACTGGTGCAAATAAAATATACAGTATACAAATACAGTGACATGTTTCAGGATTAATAGATTTAAAAAAGATCAATATTGAAGACAGGCCAGTTTCAAAAGATAAACACATCGTCTTTGTGGGTTTCAATTGTGCAGTGCAGACAGATGTAAGGCAAATGAGATTCTAGAAGGAACAAAGTAACATTTAGCAGCTCTGGAAACTGTTTGAATTAAAGATCTAAAATTTTAAGATATCAATGAGACTGTGTTAGAAATATAAATATGAACTTATGCAAACTTGTAGGCACTGCAAAAAAAAAAAATGTATGTGAAAATATTTAGAAAGCGTTCACAGACTGACTTTAATGTCACAGACAGCCAAAACTTTGTATAGATATTAAGGAGAGGTCCCTTAAATGCATTCCCTCTCTCAGGCTTTTCAGTGTGTATTTCAGGCCAACCTTCATGTATGTTTAGGAAAAAAAAATGTGTATAAATTTCTCTACCCAAGGGGAGAACTCTACATGCTGTAGATTTATAAGTTTAATAAATCTAAAGAAAGTTTATAGTTTTGGGGTTTTTTTCTTACTGTACACCCTTGTTAAAAATGTGAGTAATAGTGACAAAATGTAGACAGTTAACTACAATATGAAAGCAGGTGTGTGCATTTTTCCCTCCCTCACACACACCCAAACCAAACTCACCCACCACGAAATCTAAAAAACGTCATCTCTCCTAACAAAAAGTTATAAATTCACTTTTCATTTCAAACACACTGAGAACCTGTTCAATTTTGTTTCCTAACATTAAAATTAAAAGTTTGACTGTGAAAAGTACTTCTCATATCAATATAGAAAAAGACAAAGTGTTAAGATAGTCTCTCCAAACCTCACTATTTTGTGCTTAAGTGTTTTTATGAATTGTGTCTCAGTTTTCCATGTTACTTGTCAGTGCAGTGCTTTTCTATGGATTCACCTGTTCTCCTGAACATACCCGTAGGCCTTAAATGTGAGGTTTGTGTTTTGTTTTGTTTTTATTACCATGCTGTTGGGGTTTGGTCGAGACACGAGCATTGTGTTCATCACTGATTCTGCCCTGTTGAGGCATGCCCAATCCATGCATATTTTTCCTGACATGTAACTTCAACTTTGTGACGTTTGGATGACTCTCATGACAGTGTTTAAATAGTTTTATCTCCACCCTGCCTTGCCCTGGGTTCCTGTCACCAAATTGCTAGATAGAATTGAGACTTTTGACAAGCTGAGGCAGTTTTTTGAGGTGAATCGAGGTCACTAAAATCTTCATCTATTTTAGCATGGAGAAGGTATCGGTGTAGCAAGCTTAAAGCCTTTTGCATCCTTCAGTTGCAAATCTTTCCAGGAAACCAAGTTAAAATGTATCAGGAGACGACAGATATGGGTCTTTTTCTTTTATTTTTTGTTTGTTTGTTTTTTAAAGTGTCATGCCATTAAAAATAAGTTTATTAAAATAAAGACTTCACTTTGTGACCTGACTTTCAGATATTTTTGTTCACAGTTAACATTTCTATATTTTATTTTACATTTCTTGCAGTTTTTAAAGGAGTGAATCTCAACTGTGAGACAAACAACACAGAACATGGCACCAAAAAAATCTCAAAGGATCAGCTGATTGTGAGGCGAGGCCAGCGGTTCACCGTGAAAGTTGAACTGACACAGCCGTTCAACCCCGATCTTTACCCGCTCACCTTTACAGCAGTAACAGGTTGGTCCACCATTAAATAATGTTTTTTTGTTTGGTTTTTTGTAAAAAATGCAAACATATTCTATGTAAACCCTCCCAAGTTAAATCCTTATAATAAAAAATATGTCAAAAGTGTACAGAAGATGCTGTTTGATGGGCGCTGAACAAACATTTACTGACCCAAAGCTGTTGACTAGGGCTGTCACCGTTAATCACCGTCAATTAACGCCAACACCACGTTAACTCGGCATATCTCCGTTAACGGGTTAATGCGGATCACCCTTTGTGTTGGGCTGGACTGCGTCAACGGGTTAGCGCGGGTAGCTTGATTAACGTATTAGCGCAGTGTTGGCGAGTAACGGAATACATGTACAAACGTTGCGTATTTAAAATACAAAATATGAGTAACTGTATTCTGTTACAGTTACCGTTTAAAAAGGTGGTGTTACTCTGTTGAAATAAATGGATTACACGGCGGTCTTTTCCTGTTTCATATGTTAGGCTATGCCCTCTCTGTCCTTGGTAATTCTAAGCCAGTGGAAACCCAAACAAAACACGCATTAAAAGGCTCTAATGTCTGTGTCTCAATCTCGCGGGCCATGTCACCTCTACTTGCTATCCGCATAATGATATGACGAAATATTTTTTTTAATTATTGTTCAAAAATTATTTAATATGAAGGCAATAGGCACAGTGTTACAGGCATAGCCCTAAACAATGTAGCTTCATGGGCAGTATTAGCCAGTTGTAAGTAAGCTATTAAGACTCTATTCTACACCGTGTTCGTGTTTTCCTCCGAAACAACAAGTTCCGTTGGAGCAGCCTTTCAACGCCTCTCTCTGTCTCTCGCTAGCAAAGTCGACCCAGACAACAAAGTAAAGCTAGTTTTCGGCTATGAACTCGACACGGAACCTGACGTATTAGCCAGAGGACCTGTTTTATATACACGAAAAACAGTTTTCTATACGAGATCGTTGCAAAAAGCGCAGCCTTACCTAATGTCCACCCTACTGTTACTCATTTTATATTAAGATTTAAAAATCTAGTTGGTATTGGTATGGCGAGTAACCTTCAGTAATAGTAATACATCACACAGCAATAGTACATTCATGTAGTTGTAAAAAGCATGATAATATATTAAGAAATCCAAAGTATTTAGAATACGATACTCTCATTGAGTAATGTAATGGAATACGTTACAAAATACATTTTGGGGCATGTATTCTGTAATCTGTAGTGGAATACATTTTAAAAGTAACCTTCCCAACACTAGCAGCCCCACACAGAGGGTGATCCGCGTTAACTTGTTAATGGGGATATGCTGTGTTAATGTGGATTTGGCGTTAACGTCATTTTAACGCGATTAACGCTGACAGCCCTAGTTGGGACTCAAAGCAAAAACCTCCAAGCCCATTGAAGGCACCCTTTTTGAGCTCTGGAAAGGTTTTGATCCAGGAGAAAGTCAGTCTGAGGAATTGATAGCTGCAAACTGTGCATGTTTGGTTTATATAATTTGAATTTATATTTTTTAAATTTAAATATTTAGTTTGCAGTTGTGACACTTTATAGTAAATAAAAGAGATGTTTGAATATTGATTTCCATGTATCAACAGGAGTTTGTTCATGTTTGCTTACTTTTGTTTTCTCGGTTTTTTTGTTGCTGTTATTTTTATTATTGACATTAACATTTTTGAAAGATCTGTATGGATACATATGAAGAATTTTGTGAAAATCAATACAAAATATAAATTTAAATAATAAATAACAGCTACATGTGGTTAAGTGTAGTTTAAAAAGAGGACCCAAACACAGGAACCAGAATCAGGTATTCCCAACAAAAAGCAGGTTTTACTAATGAGCTGATGGAATAAAAGAAAAAAAAACAAACTAATTGGGCAATCAGGAGAAATAATATCAGGTGAAACCCATGAGGGTGTGGCAAAAATTGAAAGGGTGAGGAAAAAGCCAGACATGACACATAAGTGAAAGGCTCTTTTTATAAATAAACTAAGCTTTACTTAAAGGCGTTTTGCCAGTTAGCACAGTTGGATATGACCACTGTTTGTCTTTTAAACTATCTTTCAGCCTTCTGTTGCAATCAGTTTCAAAATGAGCATTGGGTACTGTGAAAAAGTCTTGAGCCACTCCTGGGAAATACAGCAATGAAATGAAAATTTTTACAATTCTGAGTTTGAAAATCAGTATTCGGTATGGCCACCTCTGTTCCTCGATGCAGCCTGAACTCTATTAGGCAAACCTTCTTGTAGTTTTAAGTAGCTTTCAATGATTGTTTTTTAAAGGTTGGCTGTCATTTATTCTATTCTCCATCAAAATGGGACAGTCTATTAATTTTGTTCTATTATGTGTTTTTCTATGAAGATATACTTTTTCTGCATTGACAGTGTGTTTGGGAACATTTTCATGCAGTAAAATTTTGTCATTTGCCCTGTGTTGACTACTGGAAATGATTCAGGTGTAACTCACACTGGTTAATGATGTCTGTCTTTCATGTCTGTAGTTACAGAGTATTGTATTGTTGGTATTGTATTGTCACATCTATGATCTCTGTGAATCCTCTCTACAGGAGAAAATCCATCTGAGGACCTGGGAACAAAGTCATGCTTTGGTATGCCAGACAGAATCCAGCGTTCGCCATCAGCAAAGGCAGTGTGGAAAGTGGAGCTAGAGAAGGGATCCAACCCACCAACAGGCTCCTTGAATTTGACCATTACCCCCCCAGCTGACACTCCAATCGGAAAGTACAACTTGACCGCCAGACATAGGGATGAGGAAACGTTGTTGGCAGAACTGGTTGTGCTCTTCAATCCCTGGTGTTCTGGTAAGTTATCTTTCTATCTGCCGACCTGTTTTCCAGGCTCTCCAGCACTGTTCATCTGTTGCTGTTGTTTTGCTTAAAACCACTATTATCCATCCATTAATCCGTCTGTCTCATGTGGTTATCCCTATTCCCGCCTCTGTAGATGATTCAGTGTTTATGCGGGATGAGAAAGAGAGACAGGAGTTTGTGATGAATGAACGTGGTATAATCTACAAAGGAAGTGGGAACTACATCACATCTATTAACTGGGACTTTGGGCAGGTACAAACACACACACACACACACACACTGTGTAGGCTTAGTGGATTTGTGATTCTAGGTTTGATAAATCGACACCGAAAAGTACCACATTAATCATGTTTTTACCAATCAGTCTTTTATTCTAAGAGTTCTATTGTTCAGTATGGTAGAGGCGCAAAAAAGATGGTCACTGTTAATGGCTTGTAGGTGTAACTCCTTAATCGGAGAGACATATATTTATATGGTGTGAGACTACTGTAGGTCATTATTAACATGCTATTATGAAGTATAGACTAGTGACATTTTTAGATATTAGCTGCTTCAAGTTAATATTTTACTTTAGAATTAATTAGTTAATGTAAATGCTTCGATTATTTTTGACTCTGCCATTAAGTACGAATAACCTAGAGCACTGTAGTTTAAGATAAGCTGCTCTCTTCCTGTCTAGTTTGAAGAGGACATGATGAAGATTTGTCTTAAGATGTTGGATGTCAACCCCAAACACCTGGCAAATGCAGCTAATGACGTTTCTGCTCGCTGTAACCCCATCTACGTCAGCCGTGTGGTCAGCGCCATGGTAGGATATTTATGTATATACATGTGTTTTGGACAGATGTACTGTATTTGCACTGCAAGTTTCACCAAGAAGGTAATTTAAAGCATTTTACATAATGTTTAAAAGGCATCATAAACAAAATAACACATTAATTATAAAGCATTACTATAAAGCATTAATTAACAAAACCTTTTGTTAATTAATGCTTTATAGTAATTTTGAGGGGAGCCAAAGCTCACTCACTCACTCACCTTTGTTTTCCTGTTTTGCTCCAGATCAACAGTATTGATGACTGTGGTGTCCTGGAGGGACGGTGGTCAGCTCCATTCTGGGGTGGAACTATACCCTCTCACTGGTCTGGCAGCTATCCCATCCTCAAGCGTTGGTATAACATCGGCTGCCACCCAGTCAAATATGGACAGTGCTGGGTATTTGCAGGAGTGATGTGTTCAGGTACTGACTAACTCTGCAAGTCCTCACTTACATACAGTATCTATTTAGGTGGGTAATATGAATACATACCTAAATATCTGTTATATATACAGTCTGTGTTTAGGCAAGTGAAATGAGAAATAAGAAATAAGCTGCCTTATATGGCAGGTGCTTTAGTTTACATACATTATCAACTTTGCTGGGTATACCTGATTTTTATTCATCCAAATATTTAATCAGCCAATCACAGGGCAACAACTCAAAAACTTAATGGCCTATAGACATGGCAAAGGTGCTCTGCGATAGACTGGCAACCTTCACAGGGTGTACCCTGCCTCTCACTCTATGGCAGGTGGGGTAGGCTCCAGCCCCCCTGCGACCCTGAATCAGATAAGCAAAGGAGAAAGGATGGCTGGATGGACATGGTAAGGAAGACCTGCTAAAGTTCAAACTGCATCAGAATTGGGGAGAAAGGTTGTATCACCTGGATGACTGAGAACCTTCACATTTAAGTGACTTTAAATGTTACGTGGTTGATCCTACCAGTCGGCTGGTCTGAGTATTTCAAAAACTGCTGATCTACTGGAATGTTTTTTCACAAACATTTCTAAGGTTTAAAGTCCTTAAAAGAGAAACTCAATAAGCAGCAGTTCTCTGGGTGAAAATGCCTTGTTGATGATAGCCGTCAGAGGATAATGGCTTCAAGCTAATAACAGGGAAAAAATAACTCAAATAACCACTCACTACAATACAACTATGCAGAGACCTGAAGTGTAGAAACTATAAGTATAACATAAGCAGAAAACCATAAAGAGAACCAGACCCATGAGCAACAATAAATCAAAGAATATTAATTAAACCTGAAACACATGCGATATGACATCTGTCCTCGTTTGTATCAACGGTTCTGGCTGGTACTTGTGGAGCAATGGTGTCTGGGATATTTTCTTTGCAGACTTTGTCCAATTTACCAACTGAGCATCATTTAAATGCCACAGCCTACCTGAGGGTTGCCACTGACCATGTCCCTTGCTATATGACCACAGCGGATTAAAACAGTTCTGAATTTCTGAGGAATGTCTCTGTCATTTTGTTGAATATATGTATGAAGAGTAAAGGCAATTGTGGAGGCAAAAAGGTCCTAGCAAGGTATATGTACCAAAGTCTCAAGTTTGTTTACAATTGCCAATTTTCTAGATTTTCTAGTGCTAATATAGGATTACACTAAAAGTCTGGTAAGCCATAGCTTTAGCAGTTTACTGATTTGTCTTTTCCTTACTTATAACTTTCCATCACTAGGCCAGTGCAACAACATTTAACAATAAGATGCTAAACTAATGTACAATTTGACAAATATCACATTTTTAAAAAATCTGTTTTTTTAATGTTTGTATTTCCAGTAATGCGTCTGCTGGGCATCCCATGCCGTGTGGTCACCAACTACCAGTCAGCTCACGACAGCAACAAGAATCTGATCATTGATGTGTACCATGCTGACTATGGAGTGAGAGAGAAAGAGACCAAGGACAGTGTCTGGTAAGATGACACAAGCTCATATGGCTTATATTGAGAAAGCAAACAGAGAGAGGTACAGATCAGAACTAAATTCTGCGGTAAAGAGTTGAACAGTTCCTTTGTACACACACACACACACACACACACACACACACACACACACACACACACACACACACAGAGGGAGAGAGAGAGTTTCCCTGAGCATTGTACAGTCTTAGTTTCTCACAGAACTAAATAAGGTTAATTTAAAAAACAGAGAGGCACTATATACAACAAACCTGAAGTCTTCTTGGTCTCTTCCAAGAGTTCCAAAGTAAAGCGAAATATAACAAAATAAAAACAAAAGGGTTTTTTACATTTCCTATAATTTATCCAATTATTTTTCAGTGGTTTTGGAAAAACAAACAGCAGAAACGCTATAGAGCTACCGGGTTGACTTTCAAAAGGTTTTGCTGTTTTTTTCTGTTTTATTAGTACTCAACCACCATCTTGTTCTTGATATGTCAGACTGCATAAAAGAGGACAAATGAAATTGTGTCCAAAAGTCTAAAAGGCTTTTAATCTTCACTGTGGTTTTACAAAGTATGTCTTGTATGCTTTGGGAGTGGTGACTTTGTCTGAAAGCTTTTAATCTGTCAATAGAAAGAATGTCCTTAGTGTGATTTATGGTGCCATTTCTCAAGCTTAGGGTAGGGTTGGGTGTTTACCTTACAATATAACGTTCCTTGATTCAACTGTTGTTGTGATTTGGTGCTATATAAATAAAATTCAATTGAATTGAAGTGAATCACCCAGCCTTCTTTGCCATGTTCTTGAGTTTTTAAAGCCACTGTTGTGTTTCCACTGACTCCAACATCAGAATTTTGTGTCATGTTTATGTTTCAGGAACTATCATGTCTGGTTAGAGTGCTGGATGAGGCGAACTGACCTGGGAAAAGATGGTAAATATGACGGCTGGCAAGTTCTGGATCCAACGCCACAGGAGAAGAGCGATGGTACGAACTCTTGTCTCCTCAGATTTTCTTCCTTTGTCTAATGACTTTTCTTTTCCTACTTTAACTATTCATTTTTTGTCAGTAAATATACCAACAATTTTTAAGTATTGTTTTTGAATGTGATATTCGATTGTGTGATTTCTTTTCATCTAGTGCTGTTAGTGATGGCAGCTCCATGGTTAGAAAGTTCCATATATAGTGCCATGAAGTTAGAATAAAAACTACTCTGTATTAGTAAAGCATGTTTCTTTATTTAATGTTCATCCGATGGCTTTTCTTGCTTGTCCTTTTGCAGGTGCATACTGCTGCGGTCCAGCCTCAGTCAAAGCCATCCTGAATGGAGAAACCGATCTAAAATATGATGCCCCATTTGTTTATGCTATGGTCAATGCTGACTGCATTGACTGGCTGGTTAGTGAACAGAGCTGTACTATATAAATCCACAAATAACATAGTTAGCAGCACCAAAAGAGGAGCAACCTTTAGTATAATAGCAATATTTATTATTTCAAATTTTGGTTTCTATCGTGTTTCTTTCTTTGTGTCCTGGCAGTGTAAAGCTGATGGCACAATGGTGAATATTTTCTCTGACACCAAGAGAATCGGACAAAATATCTCCACCAAGGCTGTTGGCTCCAACACAAGGCTGGACATCACAGACAGCTACAAGTACAAGGAAGGTGGGTTCACCTAAAAGACGTGTTTCTTGAAGACTTGAATGGAGAATTTTGTTCTTTACCATCCTGATATTATGAAAGTAGATCTCACAAGGGACATGACACTGGTAATGATTTGTCAGTCAGAAGTTACCACTGTTATACCACCCCTATTTATAAAATGAGCATTTTGATGTGTCACATAAATCCTGAAATGAGCATGTGAGACCAAAATGTTAATTAAGGTCACAGATCAACAGAGTGGTAGTGTAAAAAAAAAAAAAAGTCCTTTATTTATCCAGGTAAAAAATCTCATTGAGATTAAAACTCTAATTTCCAAGAGAGACCTGGCATCATGGCAACAAAAATTAAAATTCATGAACAGAACAGGATGTTGCATCCGCCTTTTTATATACAGTCCATGGTGCCAAGTTAGGCTGTCTTTGGTTCTTTGAATGACAGATAGTATTCGGTTAAAAAAAATACTATATAAACCTTGTTTTAACGGTTCACTAGCGATTTGCAAAGAGATTACAAATAAAAATGGGTTTGGTGACTGTGTTCTCTGTTTTCCGATACTAATAAGAAGGTTAAATAAAACCTTTTGGTCAAGACACAGTAGAAATTCTTTAGCAAAATTAATTTTCACTCTCACTCTAAAACTTTCCACTCTTACAGGGTCTAATGAGGAGAGAACTGTATTTAGATATGCCCTCACCAGAGATTACTCCAGAGATGAAGAGGAAAAGAACAATAGAGGGACAAATAATCCAATCCAGAATGGAGGGACAACAAATGGAACTGGGAATGGAGGGACAACAAATGGAACTGGGAATGGAGGGA